AATAAAAAATTTGTTTCTAGAATATGTAAAGGACTCTTACAACTTAGCAATAAAAAGACAAATAACCCAACTTAAAAATGAGTAAAGGATCTGTATAGACAGTTCTCCAGTAAAAATACATAAATGGCCCAGAAACACATGAAAGGATGTTCAGCATCATTAGTCATCAGGAAATGCAAATCAAACACAACCAAGGTACCACTTCACATTCACCAAAATAGCTACAATCGAAAAGGCAGACAATAACAGTTGTCAGCCCAATGTGGAGAAATCAGAAGACTTTCACATGGTCGGAGGAAACACGAAATGGCATGGTAATGTTGTACAACAATCTTACAGCTCCCCAAAAGGTTAAATATAGTTACCATCTGACTGGATGGTTTTGTCTTGAGTTCCCAAAAGAAATGAGGACAGATGCCCATTAAAACTAGTGAATACGTGTTCCTAGCATCTTTCTTCACAATAGCCAAAAGGCAGGAACTGTTCAACTATATATGGATTGATGAATGAACCAAAAAATGTGCTATACAAAGAATCTGCACCATGGAACGGTATGCTGCCATAAATGTGAATGAAGTACTGAAACATGCTACTTTCCAGAAGACCCTTGAAAGGATACACGATGAGGAAGAAGTCAGTCAGACACAAAATGGCCACCTACTGTGTAAGTCTGCTTCTGTAAAATATCCAGAGTAGGCAAATCCATAGATGAGAAGGAAAGTAGCACTTGCCTGAGGCTAGGGAGGAGAGAGGGAAGAAATAAGTGACAGAAGGGGGAAGAAAGGTTTCTTTCAGATATAATGAAAATGTTCTAAAACTGATTGTGGCAACTTCTGGGAATATAATCTAAAAACCCATTGAATTATACTTTAAATGGATGAACTATATGGTGTATGACCTGTATTACAATAAAGCTGCCTATTTACACATAGCAGTTGAGTATCCCTTTTTCAAAGTGCTTAAGACCAAAAGTGTTTTAGATGTGGGATTATTTTCCAGATTTGGAAACATTTGCATTATACATAATGAGCTGTCTTGAGGATGGGATCCACATTTAAACAGGAAATTCTTTTCTATTGCACATGCACTTAGGTACAGAGCCTAAAGGTAATTTTATATTTAATAAGTTAGTATTATTTAATAAAGTACTTACTACATTTATATATTTAATAAATCTGTGCATGGAACAAAGTCCCATAGTGTGTGGAATTTTCCACTTGGTGGTGTTACATTGGTGCTCAAGAAGTTTCAGATTTTTGAACAGTCTGGATTTTGGATTTTGGAGCTGGTGAGAAATAAAGTCCGCTAGATGATCATAAAGCACCTAAGTCTTTGTCATCAGTCACTGCATCCTCACAATGGCCTCTGACACTCAAAGAGCCCAGATGACCCATCTGGGATGCCCAGGCAGGTGGCAGAGCTAGGATACCGGGTCTGCTGGCTTTGGACCCACAGTTCAGGTCTGCCAAGTAGAGAAACAGGGCACAGGAAGAAGACAGGGGAAGAGCAGAGGCTGTCAGCAGGCGGTAACCCCAAGGTTAGGACAAGTGGTTTTGATTTAATACAGAAAGATCATAAAAAGGCTACATCTCTTTTTGATGAGAAATTATTTTTTAATCTTTGAAACCTCTTGAGATCAATTAATAATTAGCAAGAGAAATAAAGAAAGGGGAAATAAGTGAAGGGCAAAGCTGTTTCAAGGTAGAAGGGAAGGGAGGATCCTGATGGCCTTCAGCTAGGTACCCTCAGAGAGCAGACCCCGGCCTTTAGCCAGAAAAGCAAGCACGAATCAGCTCTCCAGGGCCACAGGGCAGGGTGCCTGCTTCTCCAGCCACCTTTATGGAAGTCACATGGAGCTTCCAGAAGGGAGAAGTTGGAAGGAAAGCTTCAGAGCCAACTGCAGGAATACTGACTGCCTTTCCCATTCCAGGATGTTTCCCAAAGTCACAGTGATGGATTCAACCAGTTCATCAGTAATTAACTCCTACCCAGAGCCGATCTGGTCCCTTCAGCTCCAGCTGAACACACAGTCGCACAAACCTGCACGGCCCTGAACACACAGAACTCACATAAAATGACAAAGGAAACAGCGACAGCATTCTCCACATCTGTAGTGACGCATTTGCAAAGCTGCAAAGAGGTCCTTGATACCACGGGATCCTGCAAGGTCCACGCATTTCAAGCCACACCATGTGTGGGATGAGGGATGCTCCTGGGAAAGAGCTTGGGGTGCTTTTAAATACTGGATTATAGAGTTCCAGGCTCCAAGAACACCTGAAGGCTTTTTTGAAATCCTGCAAAATCACAGCCAACACAATGGGGCCCAAAGCAGCAGGAAACAGTTGGGAATTTTATTTAAAGCATTATTAATGAGGAAGGGTCTGTGGTGAGATTGCTTAGTGGTTATGAATATTTATTACAGCACATTCTTAAAATCAACCCCCCAAATTAGGTCCAGGACAAATAGGAAACAGATTTCTAAGAGTCAGTCATATGTTTACATTATGCAAATTATAGTTAAAGACCTATACCCAGAACCTTATTAAATGCCAAAAAGGACGTGGGGGGGCTGCTGATATTTTGACATTTTCTTAAAATGGGCAAAAATATTTTCAGGGTGTTTGACAATCTGTGCATCGAAGGGCTCCAGTAGGAACATCTTTACTTTTCCTAACCTGGAAATGGAGTCACACTCAAGGCAGTGTCAAAAGCCTGCAGTGGCTCCTTTATTCGCAGTATTCAGGGCTCTGCTGAACTGAGCTAGAAACAGCCATTGCCTTGATTGGGAAGCTTCCACACAAATTTCAGCCTCCCTCAGCCCCAGAGCAATGAGGAGGCTTTGCTTAGAAGCCAAAGACTTCCAGACAGCTAGCTAAGCACGCATGTGTTTCACAATTAACAAAAAAGAGGAGAGAGACAGGGACAGAGAAAGAGAGAGACTCACGTACTGAACAGCTTGCTCCAAAGGTATCACCTAAAGCTTTGCAATGCCAGTAGAGCAGAAAATCCTCCAACCGGAAACCTGGACGGACACACAGGTGACAAGCAGAAGTCTATGTGCAAGGGAGGTGGGGAGCAGGAGGAGGCCACCCTTTGTACCCTTAGGTAAAGCCTTAGAGCCTGGTCTGGGGTGCAGCTCAGTGGTAAAAGCCCTGGCCTAGCATGCATGAGGTTCTGAGTGCCAGTCCCAGCACCACACACACACAAAAAAAAAAACCTCCAACCACACACATTCACCAGAAACCACATCAGTGAAGGAGAGTGGACAGATGAAAACATTACTGGTCCTTGCAGCATAATAAAAATAAAAAATTAACTAAATAGGATTAAATTCAAATTTCCAGCTTGATCAGGTCAGCAGCAAGGCGCCTTGCTTCATCTCCTGGTGCCAAGGGCGCAAGGCGGAGCCCAGGCCCTCACTCCTTATCCCTATCTTGCCCACTCCTGAAGCCCCCAGGCCACAGCCCCAGAAGCACTGGAGCCTGACAGCCTCCTCTGCAGGCTGCAGTCCAAGGAGCTAGAGCCTGTCACAGTGCGCTCTTCACAGGGAAAATAAATGCACTGCAGATTGCATAAACCTCGCTGCCAGAAACAAAACCCCACTCAATCATCACTTTGCAAACCTCTCCCCCCAAACTCTAGCTGTGTGGCCTTCGTTAGTGACTTGACCACTCAGAGCCTCCACTCCCCTCTGCCTGTGGCAGACGAGAACAGTCTCTTCAGTTCACAGGGCTGTGGACATTGCAACCAGTGTTCCCTTTAGTGCACACCTTTATGTGCATTGTTCTTTCTAAGAACCGCGAGTGCAAGTCCCCCCAAAGCCTCAAGTGGTCATAGGTGGGGATTTTTTAGGGGTAACTGGATCCAGAGTGTGTGACACTAGGATTGATTCATGGTGCAATGCTAGGACACTGGGTTAAGGGTGTGAGTGCAGCCCGCCCTAAGGAGCCTGGATAAAATATAAGGGATAGAAAGAGCTGTAGTTGTCCCTTGCTTGCTTTGCTGCCTTCTCCCTGCCACAGACTGTTTCTCCTCTTCCATGTCTGTCCACCATGCCACCTGGCCTTGGAGCCACCCCTACAAACTGTAGCCACCTTTACCAATTGTGAGCTAAATAAACCTTTCCTCCTTTAACTTTGGGTGTCAGGTATTCTGTCTCAGCAATGAGAATAGTAACTAAGACACAGACCATGTCTCAAAATAAAACAAAAATAAAGGGCTAGGGGTTATACTCAGGGATGGTGTGCTTGCCCAGAATTTGTGAGATTTGACCTGTAATACCACACACACACACACATATACACACACACACACACGAAGTGCCCCCCATGAACACAGCACTGAATACTGCCAGTGTGGGCAAAACATGTAAATGAAAAGATGTGTGTGTTAATAAACAGTAATAAGAATAATGCACTATTAGATCCCTAAAGCTGAAAACGAACCATCCCTGCCTTAATGATCTTGTAGTCAGGCTAGGAGCATAAACATCATTTCCTAGGTGTCTGTTCCACTCACTGCACTCAATGAAATCAGGACCCCTATTCTGAAAATCCAGGGCTGGGGGTGCAGCTCAGGGGTAGAGCAATTGCCTCGCATTTGTTAGGCTCTGTGTTCAATGCCCAGCACTACACACACACACACACACACACACACACACACA